ACTATTTCCAAAAAATTTACCAATTAAAATTCCACACACACTAATTGCCAAATAATGAAAATTAATTAGACATCAAAAAGATGCTAATTGTATTATTTTAAAATCCCTTTATAGCTTTAATTAATATATCCGACAATTTTAGGCCAGTGGATTGCAAAAACACTCAAACTATTAATCTTGTTTATCATTTCGTAATAACCTTATTGTATATCCGATAATCATAAAGTAAAGAAACAACGGATCCGCATTCCAAAAGGTATTGCATTACAGCCACAATAAAGAACAAGTTCTACTGTGAAATAAAGGAAATTGAAGACGTTTTACTTACTTATCATATGATACAGTGGAGTATAAATTTGCCATTCGTCTAAGTGTTTTCGTCCAAAATCTAATACATAATCATATGATTATGTATTAGATTTTGGACGAAAACACTTAGACGAATGGCAAATTTATACTCCACTGTGATTTATGTTTGAAACGTACCCACTAATGGTCTATCAAACACTATGTAACAATACATTTTCACCCATGAAACTCAACTAGGATTGTAGTCATGCCATCCGCTTAAGAAGGAACTTGCCATCTTTATACAGTATATTGCTTTCTCAGGATAACATGTTCTTTTAATATTTTAGCGAGGTTGCAGAATTCATAGCACGTTGTCAAATACCCATTACACAGCTTCATGCAAAATCTCCGAAGACAAGAAGAATCAGGGGCAGCAATCAACGTAACGAAGCTATCAGATGGGTTCGAAAGGTCACCAAGTCACGAGAAATGAAAGGGGTCGTGTATTTCGCAGACGACGACAATACCTATGATCCGAGGATTTTTGAAGAAGTACGTTAGTTTTGCCACATTATATGAGATAGGTATTCTTATTTTGGACATTAACAAAGGAAAAATATGGAGATGAAAAGTCTGATTAATATTTTCGGTTTTCTAATCTCGCAGAATCAAAACTCCTCAGTTTTTGCCCATCGACCTTAAACTTGACATAACTGAGCTCTCCTGTTTGTAACATCATTCGGTTTGTCAGAGGCATTTTTAGAGGACTTTTTGAATGACATGGTTCTGAGATTTCTTGAACTAAATGACTTATGGGTTATCTATTTTTGTCCGAAATCTTCTACTGTTGTAAGCTAAGAAAATTAAGCTGGCACTAATTAGGATAAAAAAGGTACTTACATCAGCTAGCGACACTATATTCCAGTGCTATTATTAGTTGATCCGGATCAACTGGCCAGTTTCATTTAGTCCCAAACTCAGTTGTAAGTCCTACTTGAATAGACGAAATATGCCAGAATTCTAAACAAATATAGTCTTCTGTGGCCCGAATTTTAATTCATTCGCTGCAAGTTAGAAGTTACTTTTGGACGAAATGTTTTAGATATAATTTTGCTCAGCTGGTTTTATGTATTCGAATGTGATTCTACGTAATAATTTGCGATGCATTTCCCTGATGAGCAGCCTAGCATAGATCTAAGACCATTGAGTTGGAGTATTTTAAAAGAGTCTTACCTGACTTTTTTGTGCCAAATAATGACAGTTAGTTTCATTTTTAATGCTTACCTCGGCATTCAAAAGGACTGTTAAAGTTCTTACATTTGAAATATGGTTATAGCACGCGCGTAAAGCACGATAAATTTGGCATTGCCATTTTCGTGGCCTTAAATCATATGCAACGCTTTATGTTTGACCTAACCATATTTTCAGTTAAATTAAAATGATATTTTTTGAGACCATTGATGAGTCATTATAAATAAAACATGATTTTTGGAAGGGACGTTGCTATGTGGCGCTATAACTTGCACACAAAGCGAACATTCAATGTGGTCTGTGTCTGATTCAATTATTTGTTCAGGGTTCTCATCGGTCCCTAGGGCTTTTTCTCCGAAAACTTCCTAGAAATTATTAAAATAATTAAGCACGGCAGGTAGGGCAACGAACATCTCATGAGAGACTCCACAGGAGTTAAAACAACGATCAAAACTAGTTTGCGTTTATAAAGAGAACTATTCCAGAAGAATGGTAATAATTACATTTCTTAAAAACAAACCACCTCATTTGATTTGGGCGACCATGCATTTTAAATAATTTTGACGCTGATTCTCCACTTTGTCTTCGGACGTAGGGGAAGATTACAGTTAAACTTAAGTCCTACCCAAAAAGTGTGCGTATTTGCCTAAAACTTGAGCGGATCGACCAACTTCATGCAATGTACCTCACCTGAATGTACCGTTTCCAGAAATTGACGGCACCTACTATTTCAGCAAACACGATGTAAAATTTCCAGAAATGCATTTTC